ACGTCAAGAGATATTTTATTTGTAAGAGGACATGTGGGTTTGAGGTAGATTCCACAGCCCACTCCCAGTTACTAAGAAACTATTTTGAACTCTCATCACACCTCATGGCCCCTACAGGCAGTCACAGTATTGATCCAATCTATCCAATCATCCTCTCAATCTATTACAACCTATATCTCCATTCAGATTTGATGTGCAGAGATCTACAATGAATGTAGTCGCATGATGTGGCCTATTTGCAAAGCACATAGCAGTCTGACCTAAATTGACACAATAGTGTCTAGAGAGAATTCACAGACAGCAAATAGTCTGTCTCCTCATATTTGATTCAGTGATAGGACTTTGACCCGTTCATTGCTTGTTGCGATAAAACTCATAAAAATTAAATTTTTCGATTATAAAATGTATGTTTTAAAACCATCATATTGTGTATGCAGTTATGAAGACTCAGTATCATGTGTTGTTTTCTAAACCAAGAAATTACTATGGTTTAGCATGCAACAAAATATTCATATGTATTCGTACAACGCAAAAAATCTCTCCCAACTTTTTTATACCATGTGAATTCCGACATCAATGCCAACAGGTAGCTTGGGTGTCAAGTCATATGATGACTCCCTTGACAATAACCAAAAAAAAATCTTCTGTCAGATAACATGTGCAACGCATAGTAAAAACAAATCCAAGCTTTTTGGCAATCGTTATAAGAACTGTGTCCCCCAAACAACACGTTGATCTGCAACGTGAGAATTGTCAACAATAATTTCTGCAGTCCGCTAAAGAATAGGCTATAAACAAAGAAATTTATAGTGATTAGTGTCATCAGTCCACTCTGAGTTCATTGAATTTGCAGTTTTGTGTGTGACTATTAATCCCCATTTGAATGGGAGTGGGCAGAGACAGGTTGGAACTGGGGAATTAAGGCTGGATGCCCTTCTTAACGCCTAGCAGTGGAATATATAGGCTATAAACTTCGTAGCTATGAAAGCTATACAGAAAGAACTTCACATAAGTTACTCAGCAACAAAGGACTCACTCTCTCTCTCTCCTCTCTCTCTCTCTCTCTCTCTCTCTCTCTCTCTCTCTCTCTCTCTCTCTCTCTCTCTCTCTCGCAGTATGCGACAACATTCAATCCAATCCATAATTCACCACATGAGACCTTTCCTTTACATAATTATACACGGTTCGCTAGACACGAGACGCCATTTCCTGCACAGCTATTAAGTGGACATAATTGTTACTAAAGAAGCAAGTATCGAGGATGCAACATAACCTCATCTTCGTCCCTTCTGTCAGTCCGGCAAGAAAACTATCTAGTAAGTAGAGAGCCAGCACCTTACTCTTTTATCCCTTTCAGTCGTTCCCTACGATTAGCAACGCATACAAGTGTAGAGTTTTTTCTACGAAAGCCAGTTAGGAAGATAATAATAATAATCAATAATAATAATAATAATAATAATAATAATAATAATAATAATAATAATAATAATAATGGTCCATAAAGGAACATACCACTGTCTAAAATATCTACAATATGAGGAACATTTCCAAATAAATAAAAAATAAGTAGCCAAGAAAATCTTTATCTTATCTTTTATTACCAACAGAACTCATATTCAGCTTTTATATCACTATCCTTTGTCATAAAATATTCATAGAGAAAGGGTAAATCATGCATAAGATACATATTCTAATACGTCACAGGCCGCTTTTACACCAGAGTGGCACGTCGCATGTGGCATGCCACGTGGCACGCCAGTTGAAAACGAACATCCAGAAATATATGAAACCTTTCACAGAGAAGTGGCGTAGCACATGGGACGTGTCACGCCACTTCTGTGTGAAAGGTTTCATAAATTTCCTGCATGTTCGTTTTCAACTGGCGCGTCACGTGGCATGCCACGTACGACGTGCCAGTTTGGTGTGAAAGAGGCCATACACGCTAACAGAACAAGAGGATGAGAAGAAGAAAAGGGGAGGACAAGAAAAGAAAGAAGAAAGAGGAGGACAAGAATAACCAGCCGCCCGTTGCGATACTACAGCTGAAGGATTTTCAAACTTGAATAGGACTGTCCAGGACAGTTCGATGTTAAGTCTTCCTTCAGTTACGGTTATTTTTTGTGCCTACATCAACAATGAATATTCTTGGATATTCATTACACACCTCTTATTATCCCTTCACTTCTGACAAGGCATTACACTCTCCATCTCTGTTACTTTTTACTTAATGTGTTCTTCGTGCCCAGGCTCGGTGGGGGCTGTTTGATTTTTTTTTTTTTTTTTGGCCCGTCCTGGTGTCACAATCATAAAAAAAGAAAAGAAAAAAGAATAAGAAACTGCAATATGCCATAAAAACAATAAACGACAGCACTTGGGAATAAGCCAAAAACAAAGAAAAATATGACAATACTTCATTATCCCCCCCCCCCACTTCGCCACGGCGTAATAAGACTTGTGAAAAGTATTCTTGACACGCATTCATGTATTCTAACATGACAGGGCCGTGGTAGCTCAGTGGTAGAGCACGCGAGTCGGAAATTGCAAGTCTGAATAAGGCGGGTTCGATTTCAGCGCGGGGCGTTTGGAGCTGCATCCGGTCTTAAGCCCCCAGCTCCAAAATGTTTGTGTCCAACGCCATTCGAATGGGGATTAAATGTATATATACATATACACATGGCCTCATTCCCCCTTGCAAGAGGGTGGCCAAGCCAAGAAAAGCGCATTCACCAAGATTCACACATATCTCAACCACTCCTCTTAGCTCCTTGGGGATAAAAGGTTGCCACAATCCCCCCCTTCAACCCTGCTTGGATCACCCCCAAGGTAGGAGGGCAAGGATATTCTTGAGATCCGACAGACGCAGCTGGTTCACCCTCACCGCTTTATCGAATGGCAACTCTCACACCCGTCCATCACAGTTCACTGAGCTAGCAGGTGAGAGACATCACTCTGGCTCGCATCAGTTATACACAATCTTCCTCCACTCATTCCTATCTCTTGCACGCACTCTTCCCTGCTCCACTGACATTCCACGTGCATTCACAGCTCTTTTCACGCCATCCATCCATCTCATTCTAGGTCTCCCTTTTAACATAACTCCAGTCGCTTCTGCGCTCCACGCTCCTCACTATTCGTTCATTACTCATTCTTCCCATGTGTCCAATCCAGCTCAACACTCTCTGATCTAACCTAGCCTACAGTTTCCTTTCAACACCCATTCTCTGGCTGACATCCTCATTTCTTATTCTATCTATTCTAGATACACCAGTAATACTTCTCAAACACCTCATCTCCATTACATTCAACTTGTTCCTCTCATCCTCTCTTGCATTCCAGGTCTCTGCTCCATACAATGCTGTCGGCACAATCACACCTTCATATATCCCTCTCCTTGCATTCATTCCCAAGTATCTATTTCTCATTACACTTTTCAAGATGTGATACATCTTACAGTATTGTAATAAGTCTAATATTCTTGTATATAAGAATCAACATTTGACGATATATTCCTGTTGTTGAGATTGAATATTAAACAATCTTTTCACAAGTCCTTTATAGACTGCTACACCCAAGCAAGTATGTAATCTCTAAAAACCGCATATTTTTTTACAATACTTATATATCAACTTATATAGACCATTAGATCTGAGAGGTCAATGGTGGAAAGGGAACTCTTAACGGCGTGAGGCATAGAAAAGGGGAAAAATACCCCTCATGTTCCTCTGCACACAGAAAAGTCTGTCACTTTGCTTTTATACTCCTGTCAAACGCCCCTTTCCTTTCAACGTGGCTGTCTCCTTTTAACCCTTCTAAAGAAATATATAAAATTTACTTGTATGTATTCCTGTCAATCTCCCATGATAAAGTTCTTCTCATCTTCATTTCTTCCTCAAAACATTCATTCTTGAATCTCCTCTTTCAATCTACCTAATCTATTCATTCCCTCCATTATCGTTTCTCCTACAAGCACTTTCTTCTTGAATCTTTATTTCTTTTTTTCTGTTTATGCATTATCCTCTTCATCACCATTTCCCAATTTTTTTTTTCATTATCCTCTTTCTCACCATTTCCCAATTCTCCACTCTTGACCATTCCTCAAGCTTTACTTTCTAGATTTTTTTTATTTCACAATCTAATCAAATGTACTTCTTTTCTATATCGGTCTTTCTCTAAGCACTTCTTTCCTGAATTTTTCACTCTTTAAAACATGCTACTCTTGACAATTCCTTTCCTCTCGAATCTCTCTTACAATATTATCTCCTCTATCTTTCTTTCCCCCGGCCATAACTTCTAAAATCTTTTTGTTTTGTTTGTTTGTTTTTCCCCACGTTCCATTTCCCTCACCTTTTCCCTTTTTTCCTTTCGTACCCTTCCTCATCCGAAGCACATTAATATCTTAGATGATCAATAATTTCCTTGCAACCTTCTCTGATCTCCTTGTAATTTTTATAATGCAGTGACTGTCCACAAGATGAATGAAATTAGATAAACAAGACTAGCAGACATGATCATTATTTTGCTTAGTAGACCCACACACAAAAGAATGTTCATCGAAGGGTAACCTTGTCAACCCTTCTGGAATGCCAGAGGGGGAGATGTGATCACTGGTTTTCTGAAGTGAGAGGGTGTTCTGGATGTGAAGGTTGTCTGTCTCGGCTTTCGCTGGTGATAATGCAGGAGCTGTGCTGGTGTTATTTGCGCTGGAATCTCTTCTAAAAGGCTGTTAATATATTTCATCCGCTGCCTTCCTCTCCCTCTTCTACTCTCTATCTTTCAGGTCAAGCTCAAATGTTCGTTGGTTCTTCGCCTGAATACATGTCAAAGGAAGAAATTCATCTGTCTTCTCCTTAATGTTGTTATTAAGCTACGATGAGTGTTAATTAACTCCAAGACTTGTTGGTTTGTCATAAGAGCAGCCCAGGGTATCCTTATAATTCTTCTGTACGGCCATATTTCCATTGCTTCTAATTCCTTCTTTGTATCCTTGGTGATCGTCCATGCTTCTGATCCATATGTTAATGTATACCACAAGTAAGATTTCATTACTCTTATTCTCGTGTCTATATTTATACTTAGGTTGGTAAGAAAATTTTTCTTATTATTAAAGATCATCTTTGCCATTCCTAGTCTTTTTTTAATTTACTTTTTACAGTTTCCATCTTGTGCGATCAGGAAACCGAGGTAAATAAATGTTTGTACTTGTTGAAGTTGTTGATTCTCTACAATGATAATGCATGTCGGTGTTATTTTAGTTTTTGTCATGACTATTGTTTAACTTTTAGTTTGAGAATTCTTCTTGCACTAACTCTATTTACTTTTTCTACTATTCTTTGAAGTTTTACTTCCGAATTTGCTATTAAAACAGTTCCATAAGCATACCGAATGTTAAAGTTTTTAACTCCAATCTAAACACCTTCCTTATCTATTTCCTTCATTATAATGTCGTACTCGCTATACAACGAAAAGAAGTCTGGAGAGGGGATACATCCCTGCCTTCCCTTCTCTTAATGTTTCCATGGTGATATTGGTTCTTCTATTTTAATGGCTGTTGTTAAAATAGAAGAATAAATATCACCATAGGGGTAAAGGCAGAGATGCATCCTCTCTCCAGACTCCTTGTCGTTATATATCGAGACTATAATTAGGGATATAGAAGATGAGGAAAGTATTAAGATTGGATGTAAAAACTTAACAACATTCGGTATGCTGATGATACCGTTTTAATACCAGACTCGGAAGAATAACTGTGAAATTAGCCTTGTCCTAATATCACGAGACACCCACTTCCAGTACAACTGAAGACGAAGGAAGAACCGGCAGAAGCCGGGGGCCTTGCTCCAAGTAATCAGGATTACCAAAGAGAGATACTGCAAACGACTGACTATAACTGGAACAAAGTTCTTCCAGCCTCAAAGCGCCTGCGATCATAGACTTGGACTCTAAGTACTTATACATTTACTGGAACGAAGATCATGTTTCACCGAAACTCGGCTTAAATAATGGCCTTCTCGTCTCAACAACACTCCGACAAATGACACAAATCCTTTTTATATAAAGGCCCATTTGATTTCAATTAAAGTGGCTAAATCACTAGAACCAAATTCTTCAGATGTAAACAAATTCACATGTAGTAGGTTGGCCCATAGTACCAGCCGCCCGTTGCGATACTACAGTTGAAGGTAGTTTTGACTTTAATAGGACTGCCCTGGCCTAATACCAACAATCAACTGATCCGAGCTTGGGACAGGGAGCAAACTAAGCTGACTTGCTCCCTAAGTAGCTAGATTTTATATAAATATTTATTAAATTAAAAAAAACACACACACATACACACACACACACACACACACACACACACACACACACACACACACATATATATATATATATACACAAGTAAACAAACTTCCAAGAATGTACAGAGTACAATTTGTTTAAAATGCATTTCCAACATGCGACCATACGTTTCTGGTGTGTAGCAATGAGGTAAAGTGGCAATAATGAAAAATTGCTCTGAGAATATTAAAATAAAGTAATTTTTGAAATGGACACTCATCCAGTATATTGTGTGATTACCTAATTGTGATTACCTAATTGTGTTTACGGGAAAGAGCCCAAAGCTCGTATCTTCCCGTCTCCTGATCGGTTCCATTTTAGACTTAGTGATACTTATCATACCTGTCCTTAAAACTATGGATTGAGATAGCATTAACTACCTCCTCGCTTAGCCAATTCCAATTATCAACTACTCTTACACTGAAAAAGTATTTCCTTACATCCTGCAAAGAACTTTTCTTACGAAGCTTCAAACTATGACCTCTAGTTCTAGAGCCAGCCATATCAAAATATCGATCCCTATCCACTCTATCATAACAATGAAGGAATTTAAAGACTGTCACCATATCCCCCCTCACTCTTCTAGCTTCCAGTGATGGTAAGTCTAATGCCCTCAGCCTCTCATCATAACTGAGATTGCGTATTTCTGGCACCAGTTTCGTGGCATGTCTTTGAACTTTTTCAAGCTTAGCTATGTGCTTTTTCAAGTGCGGATTCCAAAAGGGGGCTGCATATTCCAGTTTTGGCCTCACATAGGTTACATAAATATTTCTGAACATTTCCTTGTCCATGTGCCTGAAGGCTACCCTTACATTTGATAAGAATGCATATGCTGCCCTTACTATGCCATTTATATGTATTTCTGGAGACAAATCTGCCAGTATGTTTACTCCTAGATCTCTCTCATTTTCTGTCTCTTGAAGTTGTACTCCAGCCACCTAGTAGTCAAGCTTGGGCCTTCTTGCACTTGTACCCATTCTCATTACCTTACATTTTGAAGTATTGAATTTCATTAGCCACTTTTCTGACCACTCATGCAGATTATTTAGATCCTCCTGAAGTTCTCTACCATTGTTCTCGTTTTTTACTTTCTTCACAATCTTTGCAGCATCTGCAAACATATTCATGAATGAATTTACAAACTCTGGTAGGTCATTTACATATACAAGGAACAAAAGTGGCCCTAAAACTGAACCCTGTGGAACTCCACTACTAACTCTTCTCCATTCAGACACTGAGTGTCT